ACGATGACAGCTGGCATGGCCAGGCAAAACATAACTTTCAGCCACCAATTAACGTATGTAATTGTAATACAGCCAAAAACATCATAGTGTGGTGTAATAGTATATTTCGTACCTAGGGCCGAAAATGAGGTTTTGCCGGCTCGAGATAGTTTTTAAGTTCAAGACGAAGTCGAGAACTTAAATCGATCGAGAGCTGCAAAACCATTTCGGTCCGTGGTACGAACGCTATTTTTCACTATCCACCACTATAATAATGCACACTGATAGTCAAAACAACTACAAATTTAAGGTTATGTGAAGAAATAATTTGAGGAATCAGCAAAAATAAAAATAAATAGTTGCTAGGCAACAGTGACAATAACAAAATTCTATTGCAATGCTTTGGATTTTGTTTGTGTATTTAAAATGCATTCATGTTTTAAGTAAGCGGACAGCTGATTTTGCGGCCCCGGCCTGTAAAAACCTGCTCGGTCCCCAAATTACGATGACAGCTGGCATGGCCAGCAAAACGTAACTTTCAGCCACCAATTAACGTATGTAATACAGCTAAAATTATCATAGTGTGGTGAAAACATCTTTTTCGAGTAAATAAACAAAAGCCAGTTAATTGTATTGACCAGCTGGTTCATTAAATAAATTAAATAATTTAAACTTTGGAAAAATGTCAGATGCAGCCCTTTAGAAATCTGTCTGTGAGGCAGAGCCCAATTTGGTATGAAACTTGTACATACCAATAATTTTCGGCAAATCTTCACACTCGAAGATTCATTTTGATGTGCCATATGGCTATATTTTATTCGGTAAATGGCCTTAACAGTTTAAATAAAAATTGATTGTATCACTTTAATAATATATAGATGATTATGATTATGAGATCTAGTGTAGCTTTTTAGTGATTAAGATCAGCTGAATTTTATAAAGTTCTCAATAGGTAAACTTATCAAGGACATCAGGGTTTAGTTTCGGGCGACCTCAAGTGCTTAAAGATATTGTCTGAAGTAGGTTAGGATCAACCTTATGTTTATGTATATTTGACCTAAAACTTCGGTTACCTATTTGGAATAAGTTTGTTAGTTGAAGACGGGAGCAACTTAAACTAGGTCAGCATTCCGCATACCAAAAGAATTGGAATGTAATATACATTTTGATCATTTGGCCAGCAGTACGACATAGTCTTAATAGTGTTCTAAACAGAAGAAGAACAACAGCTATGCCATAAATCAGCCATAAACTGAAAAAAATATAATTTGCAAGAAGACCTATATAATCGTTGTCGGATGGTTTTATCCGCCGGTGGCTATTTTTTGTCCAACAATTCTCCACTTCACTGCTTCTACAGGATATAGGAACAACAGTTGCTGAAGCCTTTAGAATGACCCGTCCCACAAGCATATCAAATATCACTATAGGATGTTTAATTTTTAACAAAGAGCACAGGAATCTATAAACAACTAATTAGTAAATTTAATTATGCTATAAGTTATTGTCCTACTACTTCTACTCCCCGAAACGTAAAAAATATACTTTCCATCCTAAATTACTGTACAAAACTCTTTAAACTGTAGAAGATCACCATTGTAAAATAATCATTGTAAAAGAAGTTCAAGATTTTGCTAGCTTAAGGGTACCGGTACCTAAGCCTAATACGACTTGCAAAATAAAAGTACAAAAATATACTTTTAAATTATCCATTACACCGTTATTACGCGTTTAGGACTTAAAATCACAATGTAAGCTAACTTAATTTAAAAAAAAAGCTAAGTAAAAAGCTAATTTTATTTTGTTGGCAGCGTTTTTTTTTGTTATGGTAAGCTAGGTAATTTTTTATCGTCACCATACCTTACATACGTTTAGAATACCAGTTGATATACTTTCATTCCACGTTTCATGTACATAGCTTAATTCTAAGTTCATATTTTCCACGATTTACCCGCAATAACAAAATAAAAAATGTGTCTTCACGGCAGTTTTTATGTAAATAAAATTAGTAAATATTTTTTAATCGTGACCAAACCTTACATACGTGTAGAATACAAGTTTATATACCTTCGTTCCAAGTTTTATGTAAATATCTATATATCCGAAGTTGGTATTTTGCCAATTGAATTTGTTGAACCCGGCCAACAAAATAGGACTCCCAATTTAAAAGACCTAACAGAGCTTTACAATTCAACTCGAAAATAGTTTCAGAATATTTACCGCCTGTAATCATTAATATCTTTAATGCCTTGTCTATTCAGAATAATAGGCACGTGAAAAAAATCTCAAAAATATTTGTTTTGTCATTAGAGACCTAAAATGAAATGTTATGCAATTGTAAACTCCAATGACTTGCCTTAATGTATTTAGCCTACTAAAAACTCAACTATATTACAAAACCTTCATGTTTGTGTTTGATTAAACCGATACAAGTTAAATATTTCTCTGTTCATCACTAAATAAAATATACTTCAATATTATCTCTATTCAAACTGTTTTGGTAAAGCGAGTCGCGCCCAGTGCACACGCACCGACGCGACCGGTCGGAATCAAAACATTCTACGATTCTACAAAGAAAAGAAGGTTAGGTTATATGTTACGTAATTGAACGAATACTCACAATCAAACGCGACACTTCTTCTTCTTCAAGCCACTTCAACTCAACACTCACGTAAACTTCACCATTGTAACCGGCGAGAAACGTTCGACACACTTTTACCGCGAAAGTTATTCATTCGCGGTGTCTTCGAAGCAAGACCTAATAACAAACTGGCACAGACAGAAGAGCGTTAGCGGTAGCAGCAAATCCGGTTTGACTAATCGATATAAGTAGTCGACTACTCGATGGTTCGATACTCAAGTGTTCTTTTGACACTTGATTGACTAAGCACTAAAGTTATTAATTTTGTACGATTGTTTGAGTTGATGATAAAATGACTTTGTAGTATAATTAGCTATTGTAAGGTTATATTTCTATGGTGAAGGTATAATAATTATATTAATTATTGCATTGAATTTTTGAGACGAAATGGAACGTCTTAGAAATTGTTAAAATGTCTTAGCAACTAGGGTACACTATAAATTTAATGGACAAATTATTTTTTTTGTTTCGCAAATATTTGAGTGTAAGTTATATGCATACATGCACTGGTCTTACAACACTAGAAGTATAAAGTGTTTTCTGGTAAATTTTCTGGTTTAAGGTATAATTAATCAATTAATGTGAGAGTTTAGTTCATTTAGAATTAACACAATAACACAATCATACTAATTAAACTTCCACAAAAAATATTCAAAGGCCTAACAAATACGACAGAAAAAAAATGCTATGCCTAAAAGCACTACTGTATTTAATTATTTCCAATGTTTATTTGCTGGATAATGAACATTTACCTAACCCGCCATGTTAAACTTCCCTATCCCAAGCGTGATGTATACAACTTCCTTACTTCTCGAGTGATGTAAAGTTGAAAAAAACTCACTCGGTGATGTAATGAAACCCATTTAAATAACATTGAGTGGATAGCTTAAAAAATATACCTCTATGGAGCCAACGACGTTCAACGCTAGAAATCAGCTGTGTTTGAATTTTATTGTCATGCTTTGAAGAATTTTCCTAACCTAGCTTTTGTTTGTAAATGAACGTTACTGTTAGAAGATGAGTGAAATTGATAATGAAGCATATTGCTCGTGACCTCCTGAATATTGTCGGGTCAGGTAAAATCTTGTACGTTACACGTTACGCAAGAGCGTGTTTACATCACTTTGGTGAATTATGCAACTCGCCTTCGCTCGTTGCACAACATTCACCTGCGTGATGTAAAAACGCTCTTACTACACTTGTAATGTAAATAGCTTTACCATTTAATGAGCTTAAAAATGGCATAGGTAATGCCTAATTAATTGTCACACACTAAGTTAAACAGGGAATACAATATTTAACATTTAAAATGCCTTTTTTCAACTTTTTACGCTCAGTAATCTTATGCAGTATCAAAAATGTCATGTAGGTAATTTAAGTGTTCAATAATTAATTGTCTTAATAATAAACATCACCGCAAGCATAATCTAACAGTCTAAAATACGCTGTCAAACTACATGAATTGAATGGAAATATACAAATTTGTCAAACATAAGTCTCAAAAAACGTTCTCAGTTATAACGATATCCGTAAAAAATCGATAATACTATCGACCGTCGGATGAGTATTCGGTAGTTCAGTAACCGATAGAAGAAAGTAGTCTCGAGACGTGGCCACGTGACCATTGTTGTAATGACCTTCGATATCTAGTTATCAACCAAACGTGTTCTCACCGTCACTCGCACTTGCATTCTGATTGTTATCTAACAAACACTAATCCACAAACTAGAGAATTTATTCATTGTGACCAAACTCTGGTGTATTTGATGAATATTCTATGTATTTCTGAGTCAATTCAAGGATTTATAATTCTTTGAATGTTTTTTTTCAAACTAACAGAGACGACTTTCCTTTGTTTAAGCACTATCCAAGTTTAGAGAAATCAAATTTACCGATAATACTTATAATATATATTATTTGTTATACTAAATTGGCTACTTTGCAGTGTTTTTTTCGGCACTGAAGGTTCTATGGTTCAGAATAAAATTCAAACTACATAACAAAAATGTTAACACAAAACGCATAAGCTTTATTGAACTAAGAAATGTGTCAGTATTAAAACAGTGTGAATACAAATAATTGTTTAAACAATAAAGCTGATTAAAATGGAGAGAGTAGAGGTGTATTTTCGTTTGACTCATGATGTAGGCCAAAACTAAAAAGGCAGTCTGGCCTCTCTTTACCATTTCTTTAGTAGTATGCTAACTACTAAAGGTTTCAGCTTTTTGTCTAAAGGTGAATTTGTCAATCTATTAGACGAAACCACAGAAGCTTTTGGTCTAAGAGTCAAACAGTACTTTTCATGATTATGTAATTGTATCAAAACAATGTTTGACTCATTTATATTTCTACAACAATTAATTACAAACTTAACACTTACCTTGGAGAAAAAAGAATGGAGTTATGAGCTAACGATGTCTTGCTTGGGCACTTCCTTATTTAGAATAATATTTTGTATAATTTGATTATTTGTTATAGTGTCTGTCGTGGATCACGAACTTGTAATGTCAATCGCTAGTTACACTAAACACTAAAATATTTACACGTCAAAATTAACAAATAATGAAAATATCACATTTGGTCTAATTGTATAAAAGTGTTTGTGTGGAGAAACTTGAGTGTTGAGCCTCCTTGCGTTGCCTGTCTTCGCCGTGGTGCCGATCGTCCTTCCTGTAACAGAAGAAACACAATCTGTAAACATTGCTTACAATATAGGATGCACAAATACATTCCTGTAATATGGTAACACATAAACTGTAAACGTTGCTTACAAGATAGGATACACAAATACCTTCCTGTAATATGGTAACACATAAACTGTAAACGTTGCTTACAAGATAGGATACACAAATACCTTCCTGTAATATGGCAACACAAACGGTAAACGTTGCATAATAGATAGGATACACAAATACCTTCCTATAATATGGCAACACAAACTGTAAACGTTGCTTACAAGATAAGATACACCAATACCTTCCTGTAATATAAACGTTGCTTACAAGATAGGATACACAAATATATTCCTGTAATATGTCAACACAAACTGTAAACGTTGCTTACAAGATAGGACACACAAATACATTCCTGTAATATGGTAACACAAACCGTAAACGTTGCTTACAAGATAGGATACACAAATGCATTCATGTAATATGGTAACACAAACCGTAAACGTTGCTTACAAGATATGACACAAATATCTTCCTGTGATATGGCAACACAAACTGTAAACGTTGCTTACAAGGTATGATACACAAACCTTCCTGTAATATAATAGCACAAACTGTAAACATTGCTTACAAGATAGGGTACACAAATACCTTCCTGTAACGTGGCAACACAAACTGTAAACGTTGCTTACAATATAGGATCTATATTTATAATACGTGAAGCCGTTTTTGTGGACCAATTTCAACCTTTGAGGTGTCAACAAATTTGTCTTAATTTGTAGTTTTGCAATAAGGTTTTAGAATTTAAAAATTCTTAACCTCGAGGGCGCAAGACACTCTCAAAGGTGGATTTTCCCACATAAGAATTATATCAAACAAATAAAAAAAAAACAGCTGTCAATAAAAAGAAACTCGGCAGCTTTTTTGTTAGTAAATATTGACGTTTGTAATATTCAAGAGGATATAGGCCAATGTAAACAGTTAATTATTTTTGTTCGGAAAACAGAAAATGCCCTGAGTTCAAAGAATAAATATTGAAAAGCAGTAGGAGGAGACAATTAATGAGAGATCTTATGCGTATGAGAAGAGTAGAAGAAAAGAGACCTGGTCTAACAGTGAGCAATCCAGATACTCACTCACTTGTATATTTGCCAGTTCTTACTTTGGAGGTGAAAAAAATACCTCGAAGAATGTACACATCGTGTTGTCATGATGGTAAAGTAAACTTGAATAAAATAAATACAATGTTAATGTTTACTGGTAACACTGACAGTTCGAGACATTTCAAAACCTTTTGTAGAATCAGAAACTATAATAATGCCTAGGCTATGATAATCTCAAGTAGTAAGACTAAACGAAACCTTGGAGGACCTTAAGTTATTATTGTTAATGGCCAAGTTCATCATAGGCTAGCAATAAATCCAAATTTAGATAATCGTATATTTTTATACGATTTTATTAATTATAATTTATTAATAATAATAATGAATTAATAAATAAAGTTCTGAGGTCGCCATTTGATTTATCGGTCTGCTAGCGTAGCGCACGACTCCGTGCGCTCGGGTTTTAATTTAATTTAAATCTTTTAATTTAATTCTTAGGTATTATGTCCCAGAAAAAAAACAATACCACAGCCTGCCGCTGGTTTAGCAACTGCTTTATTTGTTCTTGAACGGAGCTGTTTAAGTAACGGTCATAACAAGGCGAAAGCGGTATCAATTCCACAATAATCTATGGCTACTGCCACTGATATCTAAATTTATAAAAGGCAAAGCCCTCACTGACTCACTGACTCACTCATCACTAATTCTCCCACTTCCCATTTACCTAGGAGGCTGAAATTTGGTACACTGATTCTTTAGGCATTAAATAGGAAAACTAAGTAGTTTTTATTCTGATCGGACTCTCGGGCTCCGCCCCAGTGGCTCTGGAGTTTCCCATGTTAACCTTATGATTTTTCATATTTAAAAGGAATTAATGAATCTTAACAGCTGTTTCAATTAAACAAGTTAGTTCTATTCTATGATGTTCAATAGCATTAAAGTTACAAGGATTACCAACAGGGTGCAGCACTATCATTTTTTTTTTATTTATGACAACAGCTAATTTGCAACCAAAAGGTGAATGAGCGTAGCGAACGAACTTCAACCTGGAGGCAAGTTAGCGTAGCGAACGAGCTAACCTGAAGGCAAGTGAGCGCAGCGAACGAGCTCCAACCTAAAGGTGAGTGAGCGTAGCGAACGAACTTCAACCAGGACGTGATTGAGCCATGTGAATACTTATGAAGTTAAACGGGGCAAAGCCCGAGGGTACAGCTAGTACAGTATAAAAGTACCTAGTTTATATCACCGCAAAAGTTCTTTCCATGCAAATTTAATTTATAAAGATTTTTTTTTGTTATTTTTACATTAGAGAGTGTTATAAAATGTCAATTAATATTGCTTCGCTAATTTTTACCAAGTATATCCACGATCATTACTAAATATTACAAGTTTTTGATAAAGTTCATTAACAAAATCATCCTCCAGTTGCAATAGGAGTATTCCAATTACCTAATTGAAGCGTAAGATAGTAAGAGAATAGTATTAGGCCCCGGGTACGATACGAGCGGCGAGCGGCGAGCGGTGAGCGGCGAGCGGCATGAGCGGCGCCGCTCTGACATCGGGTCTCATTTGGTTGCGTGTAAATTTGTTGAGGGTGGCCACGATACGTCTGAGCGGCGAGCGGCGGTGAGCGGCACCGCTCAGCGCCGCTCATGGTTCCAAGTCAAAACCGATTTTCGCGAAAACGCCGCTCGCCGCTCAGGTGATCCATGCTTCAGTTCGGCCTAAAATGACAGGGAAACAGCAGAAAACATGCAATACGGGTCGATACGTGAGGTGCAGTCCAGGTAATGTTTGTGGAATGACCAGCAAGGAAGTTTTAAAACACTTCAGTCACCAGAAAAGTATGGAAAAAATTATGGTTAAGGTTTTTCTAAAAACTAAGTTTTTCTTTAAAGGCAAACCATTGTCAGATAGCAACCACAGTTGCAATAGGTCTTGCAGGTAAGCATAGTTTACCATTTTATACTAAACTAACTCATACAACTTGGGAAATTTCATGAGCGTTATAAAAGTGCCGCTTGTATCGTAGCCACCACCGCCGCTTACGTGCCGCTCAGGTTGCCGCTCGCCGCTTGCCGCTCACCGCTCGCCGCTCGTATCGTACCCGAGGCCTTATAAGAATAGTAAGAGAAGCGATCAGAACGTGAGGTTGTAGGGAGGGAGTAACATCGATCCAACGTGGCCCAGTCCCAGGCACGCCTGTACCCTTCTACTATCAACACTACGACGGGCATCGGGTTCAAATCTAACCATTCACCAATTGCCTAATTACATAGTAAGATAAGATATCTGAACGTGAGGTTTGGCCCAGTCCCAGGCACGCCTGTATCCTTTTACTACTAACACTACGACGGGCATCGGGTTCAAATCCATCCGATTACCAAAACCTTTAGGGAAAATGTGACCCTCTAGGCCCAGTACGAAGTAATGAGTAAAACTGCTCCGGGCTGACAAAAAATGCCTTTTAAACTACCATACCAAAGATATATATTTATAATATTCAGTGCCGATAGTTAAACGATGTTAAGTACTGTACAGCGATATTGTGTCTATATAACGGTCACCAATAACATTGCTAACCCATTTATCGGCACCATCGCTCAGTCACTAAAACCACCTGATTACGTAGAATTTAAATTTCTAGTCTGGAATAGATTTAAAACTAGGTCGCCCCTCTGAAATGTTCACTTAGGCAAAGTTATACCTTTGCTGAATTGCATCTAGTAGAGTGGTGGGATTAGAAACCCTGTGAAACCTTCTTTGTTCAAAATGGGTTTATAATATAAAAAATAATGTTAATGGATATTTAAATTTATACTGCACCGTTTTGAATCAGTAATTTCTTTGGGTAGAAGTAGATTTGTACTAGAACTAAATTTGCATACTCGTTTTTATAAATTAGTATTTATAAAAACTTCAAAACGCCACAGCGTTAAAACACAATGTAAAGTAAGACGGTACTACCTATACACCTTCGAGAACATCACTGCATAATTTATCTTCAGTGCACAATGACAATGTCGGTATTCCTCCGGTAATTTGATGACGTAGAAGAACCCCGAGATGGCACTAGCGCTGGGAGAATGCTAAAATATTCAAAGTGTAAGGCCAGCGGGGCCATGCAGTATGTATGTGGCACGAACCGTCAGCCACCGAACACGGCGCTTTACATAAAACATTTTCTTTTAGTCAAGACTGAGACGAAATTGTTTCAGGCATTTCCCAAAATGCATTTTAAATTTGCTTTGCTAAATTTAAGTACATAAGTTAGTTAATAAAACGACCTTTATCTTGTTCGGACATTTTAAAGCAAATCTGCTTGCTACAATTCTCATCTATCTTCGATTTTAAAACAATTTAAAAGTAGTGGGAATATCATTTCAGTTGCAATAACCTTTGAAACGTAATTATTACAATAGGGATTGTACTAAATCTTTAGAGAAAAGTACTACATGTTAAATCCGATTTTCCGTTAATTTATGGGGTAAAAAAAAAATCACCGTATAACGTCAAAATTTACAAAAAATAAAAAGCACCTAACCATACCCAGATACAAAATTTCTTCAACATCGGACCAAAGGATCTGCAGCTCTGTACGCATCTACACACAAAGACATCACTTCGAACCCTCGATCTCTATTACTAGACTCGAAACCCACTGGGTTCAGGGGGGCCGAAACTGATGTATCCACTCAAAACTTTAACTCGAAAGTGTTCACAAAAACGATAACAACGACAAACTTTGTAGATGGGGAGAAAGAAAAAATACACAAAAATAATCAATACGTTGATATAGCGGACACTCGTAATACTAAAACATACTGTTCAGGAAGTTATATGTAAGTCTGTTAATAATTCTCGGGGTGAATTTATACCTGGACGATTCAAAGGA